CTCTTTTTTCTTTTATATGCTCTTAGTTCTGAAAATCTAAAATAATTTTATTTCTTGACATAACAAGATTCTTTTATTTATTAAAATTCATGTATACATATATAAGTCATGTTCAGAGGCACGCTTAAATAAGAGTGTGTTTCCAAAATAGCATGAAGAGATATTGAAATAAAAAAATAATTTTATTTTGTCGCAAAAAAATAAATTGAAATAAGTCTAATATAATCGTATTGAAAGTTTTCATTTATTTAAACTGATTGAAATTATTAATAACATTTAAGTGATTACATCACGATTATTATAAAGTATTTGGTAATTTATTAAATTCATAATTTTTGTCAAAAGCATAAAAAGAAGATATTTTGAAAGATATAAAAATAAGATATTATGACATTTATCATTATTACAATAAGTTCAGTAATTAACAATTTTAGACATTACTATAATTTACAATTATACGTACGCTAGGATGAATTTCGATAGATTTGTTAGTAGATTAGATGCTATATCTTAGAAAGACCTTATTGTTAGTTGAGCATGTTCAGTCTTGATGGATCTTTGTATTTATAGACATTGTAAATAAATCGTAGAAGAGGATAATCTAACGAAGATAATCTATATTGCAGACAAGGGTCGCGGTAAACGAAAACCGGCATGACACGCCGTGGGAATCGTTGTATGTGCAGCACGTAGACGGACGCCGTCATCGTCGCCTGATCATGGCCGATCAGGGCGCATCGGCGCGCCGGGTTTTCAGGGAACGCGGGAAGGTTCTCTGGTTGATATTAGCCGAGTGGATCAAGAGCAAGATGCGAGAACTGCATTACTCTCAAGACGTAAGGAAGTATCGGTTACAGTACGTACAGAAGTCCGACCGATCGAGAACGGTCACGGATTTGTCTTTATCATCGTTGTGCAATTTATGAGCGGATCTGTTATTTCTGACCATGATCAGTCACGTCGGTCTGATGCAAGATCATTTACCAACGATGAGTGCTCGATGGCCGTGGGTTTTTTTTTCGTTTTTTTTAAATACCACATATCCGAAATTATTTGGACATTAATGTATAAAAAATGTTACATGATGTTTAGATTTGAATGTTTGAAATATTTTTCCTTTACATTGTTAAATTATTAGCAATTTGTTTTTGTATGCATTAAAATATAACAATTTTGAAAAAATATACATATTTATCTCGATTTATCTATGTATATTTGTGATATCTGTATATAGTCTAAACCAAAGCTAGGATTTAGTTGCACATTTCAGCCGATTTTGAGCTTGGTTCTTGCCCCTCACTTTCACTAACTCGCGCGAGTTGGTGAAGTGTGAAGGGCAGGAGCCAAACTGAAAATCGGCCGAAATGTGCAACTAAAGCCGGCAGCACAGGATGCTTGTTTTTCTACTGGATTGCTAACTGGATTAAAATCTTGCCACCGTATTGGCTGCAGTGCTGCCAGTGCCAGTATTGCAGCCAATATGGTGACAAGATTCTAATCCAATTAGCAATCTAGCACAGAAAAACAAGTATCATGTACTGCAGGCTTAAATCCCAGCTCTGGTCTAAAGAGTTAATTTCTCTATAGCTTGAGCACGTGCCTTTGGTAAATTATTAATACCGAACAAATTGCGGGATCGAATCTTATGTTTGAAATGGTAAGACCCGATCCTTGATGTAATTTTCGATGTCAATGTATGTTTGCTATACACACGAAGACATAGTCTCGAAAATGGTACATATGTTAAAATAACATATTTCAAAACAATATAAAGATCCAAAGAACGTCTATAAAAACGTTTATGAAAAAATATTCATGAGATTGATAAAAATGGAATCTCTTTTAAGTGTCTTCATGATGCTTTTTAGGTGTTTATATCGTTCGGGTTTGATTCGTGCGCGTGTTTTTTTTAGCTACACTTTCTAATATCTTACACGTTCAAAATGGAACAAAAAATATAATCAAACTTTAAAAGAAAAAAAATTGTCGAAAAATGTAGAAAGTGTTACTAAGGCTGTATTCTAAAATTTATTGTCAGTATCTATATGAAAATCTGTATTTTACGTTACGTGCATTATAGATTTTTAGTACTGGCAGTCAATTTTGGAAACACAGCCTAAATAAAACAGATCTTCCATTTTGGACTGAATTATGATCAGGTAAAAACTATCGACGTTGAAAAGTCGATGGAATACTGTACCTGGACGTTAAATCGAGCTTATATGTGTATATGTATTAAGTCTGGCCTACATTAATTAGATATAGATATATAGATCTATATTTCTTACAAATAAAGTGCCAAAAAGAAAAAAAAGGGAAAAAAGAGAATGAATTTTGCTCCTCATTTGTCGATCGATTGCGAAAAAGTACCGACGTACTTTGTTATTTCCAGTACGTATGGTATAATATGGTGTAACTCGATGTGTTCGTGTTAATTGTTTAAGAGTTTATCGAGTTTGTGTACATCAAGTGCATTGAAGTCTAAAATAGATGGATTTATTTATTTGAAGGAGATGAAGAATAAAGAAATTTGAAGCTTTTGCGTATTAGAAGTGACTGTTTATATTCTCTCTGCGTGCGCGCGCGCGTGGAAGGTGCAGTTGTGTGCGTGCGTGTTTGTGGACTTCATTATCTTCTAATTAAAACTACAAGTCAGTAAAAACAAATTTACGATCGCGGCGCAAGCCAATAGAAGTGCCGATAATTCTGTCACAAAGTTGCCATCATGTACGTCTCCTTCGTTTTTCTATGAGCTTTGAACAATCTTTGATTTATCCTTTAAATATATTTATTTGCCTATTTAATAATTCGTCCGGATATAACTATTTGTCAATTTATTTTGGATTTATTTTTGAGTAGTTTAATAATTATTACATAATTTATAATGAGAAAAATATGAAATAAATAATTTTATTGGAACGAAGATAAATAAATAATTCCGAAAGAATTGTTCATTACTGTTTTATGATCATTTGATCGTCTATATTCTCTACAAAATTTCATAATTAATATTTTGCTGAATAATATAATAATTTAAAACTACATTTATAATTCAAGATGGATTTGAATCTGACAGAAATGTGCAACAAAGTCTCCAAGCAGAACAACAAATCATGATAACGTCAAAATGACATAAAATAAATCGAAAATGATTGAAAAATGACTTTTAATGATCATTTTGGAGTCATTTTGGCATCAATTTGATATCATAATAACTTGTTCTGCTTGGGTATATAATCGCAAGTGAGATTTAAATAATTAACTTTTTAATAAACATACAACATACCTGTGACAATAATTAATTGATAATGAATCTCGAAATAACTGTATACGAGACCACGTAATTATTAGTGTTTTGACAACCTTTGTTATCATGAAAAGCGATTATTGCAACGGCCAAACAGTTATTTCGATTCCGTGTGAACACAGTGATTTACTTGACGTTGTAGATTTAATCGATATTTAATTTGTTACAATATAAAAATGAGTTGATTCGCGTGAGAAGCATATAACAAATTTATAAATTGAATAATTATGTTAAGAATTAATTTGTTATTTATATTACATAATTTCGAATTTTTTTAATACCTTATTATTATTATTTTGTTGTATTTAAAACAAACGGATCGTTTTAGGTAAATAAATTATGGTATTTGTCGTTTTATATGTAATTTCACGGTCTTTCCATTCTACTATTCGCCAATTCTATTTATTGTACATATGTCAGTTGTAATGTTAAAACTAGAACTTTGAATGCACTTGTTTATTGCATAAAAACGATATTTTATCAGAAAAAGATTGTCAAATTATATAAATTTTCTGTCAAATTAATACAAACAAAAATATATGTGTATGTACGTTTATGGATGATATATGTATAATCGAGTGTAATGTGTCGAGCTCCAAAATATGCAGGGTTTAACAAAACATCGCAAAAAGGGAGAAAAAGTGTAGTAATTATGAGAAAGATGCAATGGTAATTTTTAACTATATATAATATTATAATTGAAATTGATTATTATCAAATCAGAAGCAAGTCATATTATAAGACTTTATTCTTTCCGATTTAATACATATCGATTAAATGTAATAAAAAATTTTCTTTATTAAAAGCAATTAATATCTGTCGGCAAATCATAATTTTAACGTAGATAATGTTATGTTTTAATTTATTGTTAGCGTATTATATCTATGCAAATATTTATTTATTTCTTACAAATTCATTATACAACAGTATAAACGCGATCACAATAAATTACAATCTTCTCTACAAGCGACTACAATGTTACATCCTGCATAGGCGAACATATATATACAAATTTTAGTTAAACTTGCATTTGAGTTGTGTATATTTCTTACGAGCGACTCGACTTTTCGACGGTAACTTATTTTCGACATTATCGGTGGCTAACAGCGAGTTACCTGCCGATATAATTGTATACTTGTATTATATACTTTAATTTTATTCGATCCTTGATTTATCTCGCGCTGCGCTTTGCTACATTTTGATCATTATTGGCGCGACGCGACGATATTTTAGATGCTGCACAGAGAGTGCGAAGTGTATGTTTGCGTTCTATTCTTTTTTGTACACGAAAATATTCGTGGATGTATGTCTGTCCTGGAGAGCCGAAAGTGAGTCGTGATCTAGATAATTTCGGACTAACGTTTATTTGAAAGTTGTTAAACGCGCAAGTGCTACGCGACGTTGTGCGGCATACAAAAAGTACATTAACATATGTATGTATGATATTATGTACAAATAACGATATTCGTTTAAAATAAAGTCGTTTACAAATATACGACATTTCTACTTTCTAGGTTGCAATTACACACACAACATGGAATATAATATAGAAATACGTATAATAGACTTCTTCCTCGCGGTACATTGCGTTCAAAACTGAATAATAATTTCAAAAACATGTGACTTTGATAAAAATTTTTTAAATTATTGTTTTTATTTTTTATAAGAGCGTGTATATGAACTTTATATTTCGTATATTACATTTAAAAAAATGTATCTTCCAAAATATTGTCATTTATATCCGAATCCTATATTTGAATTTTTAGTATTGGAAAGATATTTTTTATTAAGTCACGGTTATATTACTTTGGTAATTTGCGCGATTAAGATTCCGTTATTCATTCTCGCACTTTCGTTGTTGACTAGAAACTTGCACAAACAAATGTATTTAAGTATATACCAATTACTTACTTACAAATTAAAATTTTCTTTTTCAAGTAATTTTTAAGTCAAATAATGTTGCGTACATTAACATCACTTTCATTTGCCTTATGCAAATGAATGGAGTTAATTAAAAGTTGTGCAAATGTCTTCCAGTTGAAGCGATTCGAAGCTTTACGCGTGGATTACATGTGATTTTTCAATCGCTTTAGGAAGACCATTCGCATAGGCCGATCTCAGAGGGATGCTGTAACCAGATGCGAATCGTGTTCTTCGCTAACGGGGGTTGATGGAGCAGTGTTCGGTGTGGGCGGACCATTGGTGCTACATTGGTGATCGATCGTACCTGTTGCATGAAATCATTTTTGTGACAGTGCTGCAGTAAATTTTAATTTTTACTAATTTTAATTTTATTTTTTCTCTTATCAACACTATAATCTTATTTTTTATACTTATTATATTCATCATATTTAATTATTTTATTTTTTACTACAGTGATCTTATGAAGTTAATAACGTTAATTAATATTTGCATTATACATATAATTTGATTTACATACTTTTTTTGTTAATACATCAACTATTGCAACATGTGACTAAAGTTATATAATTTTCAAACTTTAATTAATGTTTATGTATTATATATTTAATTATTGTTTATTGTCTTATATATACCTGTAAAGGAATTGGAGCGGCTTTTAAAGGATGAATCAGGCCAGCAGATCCTACAGAGGGGCTTCAACAATCGAAATCTCGGTCGGGGCATTCGTAAAAGAACATAAATATATGGATCCAGGGTGAAGTGAATGCATAAAAGAATATCAGCTATGATGTGGAAGATTCGAATGCATTTTAGTGCAGTGACCGCCGTTTTAGGTAAATGCATCGCGAATTGAGCCAATGGAATGGAAATCTAGAGAAGACGATAAACAAAATTTAATAATTTAGAGTTTAATAATTTGATTTAAATAATAAAAAAATTAATTCAATCATTGTAGGTAGAACGTTATTCTTACAAAGAAAAACATTTAAAAACAGGGAGAGACATTCGTAATTGTGTTATTAAACCTATTCTTTTATAAAATTTTTATGTATAAAATAAATGGGTTGTATACATATATAATAGTGACGTCTTTAATTCGTAGAAAAAATATTTGGTTATGTTATATCTATCTATTTTACGAATTAATTTACTCCGCGTGTAAAATTTTCTATCACCTGACAAAACCGTCAACAGGATGAAATCAATTCAGAGACGATCAGAATATTGGCTCGCGGATGTCTCGATGGCTCGTACGTGAAACTATTCTCAAATATTGATCATTTATCTTTGTCGACCTTCGCTTTTAGCGGAAGCACGCGATAATTCTGTACTGGTTAGATGTAATAAATAATAATGATCATCGTTTCCGGCAAGAAGATGCTTGTTGTAAGTTAATCAATTTATTTAGAAAAATCTCAACTCTATTTATTTTGTATAAAAATTTTTATTTAGTATTGTCATACTCTTAATATTATTTATTATCATATTGCTATTATTTACTATTATTAATTCTTTTTTTTTCTTCTTATTGTTATCTGTTTATAATGCAAAAATTATATCAATAATTTATTCCGTAATTTTTAAATTGTTTTATCTTTAAATATTTTTCTGATAAAAACGTTTTATATGAAAAGTTCTTTTTATAAAATAGATTTTTAAAAATTCAATATATCATCAAAATATTTTCACATCGCGTATAGGAATTTCAAAAATCATTTCGTTATAGAAATTATTTATTTCCTCTTAATACTATCAAGATTAAAATGGATGAACATCGTAAATATAACAGGAAACATCGGCTTAAAACAGTACTCAGTAAGCAAATCACGCGATCCCCTCGCAGAATTACCGAAAGTAGAGTCTATTCCCGACAAAATTTTCGCAAGGTCATGTTATATTTATAGCGCCAAACAATAAAAAAGAAAGTAACTAGAAGAGGCAGGAATTTATATTTCAACCAAAGACTTCCCCTTTAACTATACAAGAGAAGAAAATTGGAAACCGTTCTTCTTGGAAACGTAACATTCTATCTTCATTCTGCCATTCAATATAGTTTACTGCTTATAAACATTAATCTATACTTTCTCCTATTATCTGAACCTGTTATCCCTAAACCTTTAACGAATCCTTATTATGTGCATTAGATTATTTCTTTCCCTTTTTCGTTTTGGCTATTTTCTATTTATCTCCTTTAAGTATTTCTCTTATCTATTTAATAATAAATAATTATTGATCAATGAAAGAAAAAAAACATACTAATTAAATGAGATACATGGGCTGCGTTATCAGCACTATTGTGTCATTCTATTGTTTATTAGATGTAAAACAAGAATAAAATGATATATAGCGCTGATAGTGCGCTCCCCGAATACAGCCATATATTCATGACTTATTTAAATATATAAAAAATAATAGAAAACAGGAAGACATATACGTTACAAAAACAAAAGACATTAATATTATTTTACCATATTAATTTATTTTACCAGTAAAATTTATTTTCCGTTATTTATTATTTTACTGTATTTTTAATTATTATTTCATTTTTTATATTTATCTGTTATTAATATTATTTATTGTTTTTACACAATTTTGTCATAAGTTTAGACTATATAATCATAAATTAATTAAGGCGACTTACCATGTATGGCATCCAGCAAATAACGAACGATATTGATAATACAGCCATAAGTCTTGCGAATGCTCTTTCTTCAGTTGTAACTGTTTCTAATCGATGTGGAGTATGTACTCCGGCTATAGTCAGCAAAGGTTTTGCCCTCGATGAGGCTTTAGAGATTCTCCCAAGAGCAACTGTACGACGACTTAATTTACTCAAAGCCCTAGAAACTGCCAAGTTGCACCAGACAATCGACAAACATAAAAGAGTACCTGTAATTTAAAAAAAATTAGAATATATTCAATAACTTGAAAATAATTTTTTTATAATTGGATCCTTTTTGTTAAAATTGGAAACATAATTGAGGGGATGGGCGGAATAAAGACACAATTCTACTTAGGTCTTTTTCGGGCAATTAGCTTTTTCATGCAATATTAATCGTAGAGAAGATTTATAACATGTAACTTCTTAAAGACATTACATAAATTTATTTAATATTGTATCCATTTATGTATAATGAAAAAAATAGTAAGTTATTTCAATTTTTATTATTATCAAGATTTTTTATAATTAGGCCTTTATTCCGCCCATCCCCTCAATTATAATAATTGCTATAATTACTTATAGCAATTATTATATAAATGTTGATATGTTTATATTAAAATTAATAAAACAGAATAATCAAGTAATTGCGAATAAATATTATTATGCCTTTTTAATAATCAGTAATTTCTTCTTTTTATCATATACTCATTTACTCACCAAAAATAAACCATACATAAGCATAAGCGATATCGCTCGGCTCTGTGGCCTCTCTGTAACGCACGCATTGTTTGTCTTTATAATACAATCCGAAGCCCATAACCGGAAGACTGGTTATCGTTAATGCAATCAACCAAAGCGCCAACATGCAACGCACAATTACCGGATACGTCACCTGCTGAAAGATACATGCGTGTTATCCATTAAGACATCGAGACACCGATGCAGATATTGACTTTTTGTTGCAATTTTTGTTTTGCAATAACTACAGATTGGAGAAATCGAGAAAAATTAATTTGACGAAATTTATACCGCCATAGATTAACGAAAAAAAACACGAAGCGACAGAAATTAATAGTCTCTATTTATAAATTTACTCTTGTAAACTTTCATTAATTTCTGTTTCTATTTAATTGTAAACAAATAATTTTATAATTTTTTATAAGAAAATATTTTGTAAGAAGATTACATGTCCTTGTTCATGAATGAGAAAGTGCTATTGCTGATTTATTGTAAAAGCTTTAAGTTCACAATTCACTCTAATATTAATTTTTAAATATTCATCTAGTTTGGATTACGAATTTTCTATATATTCATATAAACATAAATTGAAGAATATAATTAATTATATAATTGGAGTTTTAATATTAACAAAAATTATATTTATCTCTCAAAGGAACACAACAAAGTATCCCTTTTCGAATATGTTGAAATCGACATTAAAATAAGGGATATGTATTCTTTTATGCATGCACTTTTAAGAACGCAAACATCTTTTAACAAAAATTGGTTAATTTTTAATATCGTTAAAACTATAAAAGATTAAAAAAATTTTTTTAGATTTAAAATTTCTATCCCAGATCTTATATTATTTTCATGTCTAATAACTATTCGTTCTTGCTTTCTTTTCTATTATGTATAATCTAGATTTATGCGTTTGCTAATTCTTTGTTCTGTAAGAACCTTTCGAAAAGAACAGAAGAAAAGGAACCAAGAAAAAAGATAATCGAATTATCACGAAAGAACAATTTGTCCAAGTTTATTATTTTATAGTGTCTTATACCGTTACATACGATTTTCATAACACATGACAATCAGGAAAAGGTGAGTTAATAATGTAACTGATAATTGAAGTTTTGTTAAGTACACCAACTTTAGCATGAATATGAGAGAAATAACATATGTTTGCATTGAATAAGAAATAACATATGTTCGCATTGAAGCCGTGTTTTAACGAACTGCGTCATATGGAGAATTTCGAGAACATCATTCTGCGCAAAACCTTTATGAAATTTTCAAGGTCAATCGTCTGCTCTCAAAATCGATGAAACTTGTTTCGCGGATTAAATTACGTCTAAGATTGATCAGATATCAGGTCGGTGCCTAATAAATTTATGAATTTTTCGTTTGCAATTTTGTATTATATAGTTTCATGTATGCGATCTACGCATAAAGCGATATTGTGAAATTAATATTAAAAGTATTATACTATATTGCAATTGAAAATATGATCTGTTTTATTAATCTTTTAAGATATGTAAGACTAGTTTTTTAGTCATATGTTTATAAATTTAGGAACTCATTAATCTATCACCTGTCGCGTGTTGATGAAAGGATGTATAAATAACGTGGGTTGCACATCATTACTTTAATATTATTCAGGAGAATAACTTGAATTAGGTGGGGTTTTCTTGGGAAAAACAATATTTGACAAAGCGCGATCTAACAGTAGCAGCAATCAACTCCAATTACTTGTAATCTTGGATACTGCGTCTAAAGATGATCACGCTGTGTAAATTGACGTCAGTTTCTATCGCATTGCGATCAATACCTCCGTAATTAGTAGTCACGAAATTATTCGAATTTATTAATAAAAATTTGTCGGAATAGTATTTCAAAAATCTTAGTACACCTACATCAACATACAGTAATAATTCACTCAAAAATCGGTTTTTAATTCGATTAATGTTTTCCCTTCTTTTATTCCATCTTTATCATAAAATACGATCGTTCTATAAGCGTAACTTTGGAGTGGCGCACGTGCATAAATTTCTCACACGCATTAATTTGTTCGCAGTAAGTAAGACTATGTCGTGAATCATAACATGCGATTTACTTTGGCAACACGCTTTGTGCGTTGACTTTCGGTCCATCATTAAAAATAAAAAAGAAAGAAAATTTATTTTTCCAATAGATTACATAAAGTAAAATAACTTCTTTATTTTCTTTAGTCAGATTATATAAAAGAACAAATTGATTCCCTTTCTGTATAAATAATATGCAATTCGTAAGTGATTACAATATTATTTTTCAACATATTAACATTTTTATAATATGATGCTTAATTGCAGCATCAAATTATTAAAAATTACTTATCAATTTAATTCGCGATTACTAGGGTAGTTTTAATTGCGTTTATAGTCCGGAAAAAACAATTCGTCGCGCAGTTTAAAAAGACTACAATATGGTTTATATGCATAATGCAAGTACATATATAGTATATATTAGTAATTCAAGATTGAATTATTTAAAATATGAAGATCCAGAGCTTCGACTGTAATAGGCATTTAATTTCTAGTATTGATCGTGTACTTACATATGCGGTCTAAAAATAAAGATTCTTGATATTATTTTAAACTTAGTCTTACCTTTTGGTAAACAAAGGGTCTAGTTAAAGCTAACCACCTCTCCACTGCCATGACGATGGCGACGCAGCCGCTAAAGAGGCCAAAAAGTCGCCAAACAACTCGAAGAGAGCAAAATATTCTTGTAGATGTCACATCGCCCGCATAAATTGTAACATACATCTGAACTAACATCCCCAATAACGCTACGAGATCGTTGGTTGCCAAACAACGTAACATCAGCAAATGCTTGCGGTTTCTTCTCTGAAATGAAATAAGTTGATGTACAGCATCACTCTACAATTTTTTATTAGAAAAACAACTTTTCACTGAAACGATATAAGTTGATAAAAATATATTTTTATATATACATAATAGAAATATACATTTTATATTAAATTATTGATATATTTTATTTAAAAAAATATTAGATCATTTATTATTTGCTCGTTTAAAATATATTTGGTTTATAATTTTATATTTATTATTAACTTTTCTACAAAAAAGATTTCAAAACACTCTAAAAAAAGATTTAACTTTCTATCAATTTGGACTGATTGTCCGACTTATCATGTTAGTACCAAACGTCTTACGGTTATTTACTTCATATTTTTATAATCAACTATAGCAAAACATTTCAATTATACTCTCCGCGTTTTTTTTTCTACTAAACTTTTAAACATTTCTGGAATTTAATTAAACCACGTTATTCTTAAAGACATTTCATTTAATACAATATATTTTTCAGATTTAATTTTTATAGATTTTAATTTTTATCTTTAACTACGGAGATAACAAAACTATGCTAAAGATGAATACATTTTTAAGGAATACTTAATCAACTTAATAAATAATTCTTTAATAGATATACTTTATATTATTAATTGAAAGGAAGAAGAATTTTTTTATTTGAGAGAAATAAAATTGTAATGTATGTAATATTTAATTTCTGATTTGTTTTATTAATAGATAGTAATAGTTATTACAATGTATTATTACAATTCAAAAAATTATATTAATTAATATAAATTGATGAATGATGTTATGATTTCCGTTAATTACCTTGTCCCGATGAAAAAGTATGACCAGCGCAGACACGTTACCAATGACGCCAGTTGTGTAGACAAGAGTCAATACAATTTGAGGCACGAAACTCACATGCTTTCTTCGTGTAATACTTGTCACTATGTTGGTCATCGTTGTCTTATTAAACGCAAAAGTTGACAAAGTATCGTTATCCGCTAACATGATTGCTGTATGTATGAATTTAAGAATTTAATTTCACCTATCGTTTATTTCCTCAGCTTTGCTAAAAAACTTATCTTAATATGACGTAAAGAGCTAATCTAATAAAAAGTATCCAGACTTGTCTGACCTTATAACTTGCCGGTTGTTTTACATTAATTATAATTCAATGTAAAAGTAATTTCTATTTAAAACATGTCAATTTCAATTTTCACCTTCCTCGCAAGCAACTGCGAGTTTCTATTTAGTAATAGTATTAACATTAATATTTTGATCACTTGATATACACTTTTTTTCTTTCAGAATTTTATTCAGATCATTAGAATAGATCCAAAGAAGATGCATGGAAGTTTCTCCTGTCATATGAAAAATGCAAGTGCATTACATTATGCAATTTGAATTGGTTGCATTTTTGGGTTTTCTAAAAATGTGCAATTTCTTGTTGCTATTTGCATAAACAATTCTTGCATATGTAATACGATTCTATTTGCAGTATTTTTCCAGAGAGGATCACTGAAATAAGATTAACAACATGCTTTACATTTCTGTGCATAATTTGTAATAGTAACTTAATGCAGAAAATGGGAAAATCGGAATTTGAAAGTAAATAATAATAAAGATAATTAATTGCGATCAGAAGATTAAAATTGTTCTAAATTATGAATAACGACTCGTAAAACTTTTCAATAACAAAGGATCGTAAAACGCAGAGAGAGAGAGAGAGAGAGAGAGAGAGAGAGAGAGAGATTTTAAAGCTTATTAACCTTATAAAATTGAAAAGCAATCTGGAGTTAATAAAGATTATAAAAATTTAATATACATATTTGAGAATATTATTTCTAATAGTTTAATTTTACAACAGTGGAATTTTATGATAATGATTTAAGCATTGCGTAAAAATTCCAAGCAACTGTATGAAATAGTGAAGACAGCCGATTTTATGAAACAGTTATTATAAAAATTATGAAATATATATTTTACAATTCTATAATTTTAGTTAAGTTCTATAATTTTACTCTATAATTTTTTTAAATTTTAATTAAATTTTCTATACCTAATATAAATTGATCCGGAAACTGTGAGTTTAAGAAATCACAACCGTTTCTCCATATATTCAATCTTCAAAGCTCTTCCAATTTTTTCTTCGTCGTTTTATGCCCTTTAAGAAGTTCTTCAAGATGATAACTCTGCATAATTTCGTCTGAAACGTCTATTACGCAGAATATTAATTTGATTTTCGTATTATAATAAGCAACGCCGATCACTCGTCACGCTCTTCTCGTCGCAGGAAATCCTGGAGAGTCAACGATTGACAACGCGAACCTGCGAGCCTTCCGATCAAAAATAGATATGAGGGTTTTATAAGAGTATCAAGAGATTCTTTCGACGAGTGAAGTTACCGCTTGACTGATCGAAACCACACGCAGGATTCAGTTTTGTTTACCCCCAAAGACCGGTTTGATAGCAATGGCGCCTGCGCGCAGAATTGTTATCCATTATTTATTTATTGCTAAAATTTATCAAAAACATTGCTGATGCGAATATTAGATTAAAAAAATGATTTAATTAAATTATTTTAGGAAATAAATGAATTTTGCGTATATATAGTTTTGATTTTGACAATCTTAGAATACATAATTATATTTTATTAAAAATTGATCGTAATTCAAAATTTTAATCTCATATTTTTTATTGTTAGAAATTAATAGGAAAATAATATATATTAAAGTCATATAACTATAAACGGTTTGCCTTTCGATGTCTTGCAAACGGATTCGCGCAAACTCCAATTCATTGGCATGCGAATAATTATGAATAATGCATGTTACACGTGCTTTTTTGTATACAAGACAGCATACCGGTCAGGAACGATCTGCGTTAAATAAATGCCTTGCCCTTTCAAAGATGCAGAACACAATGAAAGGACTACCAAGGAATGGCAATGAATTTTAGATTTGTCAAGATTTGGATGCAATCCAACGATTGTGGCAACGATAAAAATCTATCTAGTTTTGATTATCAATCAAGAATTAATTTCATTAACTGTAGATAGCAGAATTCTCCGGTAAAATATATGTTAAATAGTCCAATAAATATAAACACATAAAAATCGCAAGTTAACTGCATATATATTATAGGTCTGTTTTTTGTTGCTGCACTTTCTGAACTGGTACGCACAGTGCAATAAGTTGAAGTAAAACAAATATACGTTTAAATAATAATAAAAATAACAATTGATGTTGAAGGACTCTTTGATATTTAATAATATAAAGACTAGAATGTAAGGCGAAGTAGGAGTCGGTGAGCAAGTATAATAACGGAAATGTTTATATGTCCATTTTTAATGTAAAGTATAAAAATATAAAAAGTTGGTATAAAATCCGATTGGTATAAAATATACGTTAGTTGCATTTTAAGTTATTGCACCGGTTCAGAGTGCAGCAATAAAAAATAGATCTTATGTCTTTTTTCTTTTAGTAAATTGATTATCTCTAAATTTTCTTTTCCTTAATTTTTTAATACTTTTTTTTAGTTACATTCGACAAATAAATATATTTTGATTTGTACTTTTAGAACGCTATATGGAAAAATGTTAGAAAATTGATCCAATTCTTATCTTTAAGTTTACAATTCTCTCTCTCTCTTTCTCTCTCTCTCTCTTTCTCTCTCTCCTTTGTCTCTGCTTTCGTCGTTTGGCTCTTTTTTTATATCAAAAAAATTCAAAAAATTCTATTTACTGATTTCTTGTATCAAAAAAGTCCAAAAAATTCTACCTGCGTGATTCAGCTCTATTTTTAGAATATGTGTTGCCTTTTTATTATAATTTGGTTAATCTTGCGTTCTTTAATAAAGCTTAAAACATATTTTACAAATATTATAAACAATTTATTAAATTTTAGAAGATTTTTTGCCCCTTTAAAGCAAGCAAATTCTTTACGTGGAGAATAGAACGACTATTAATACGATAGTTTTCATCTTGATTTACTAATAAATTTTAATTAATTTAAATCACAACTGTACGACTTATGAGAGTTATGAATATTGCTCTGAATATTCTCGAATGATAATTACACATATAAAATTAAATCAATGCAAATTCAATAATTATATAATTCCGAAGAGAAAACTAAGCTGTAATTTTTTTATTGCAATGCAACTGTTTTCTTATACAATTGTTAACAATTTGTTGTGACGCACGTGTCGAAAGCGTGAACGAATCATCTGTATTCTCGTGAATTAAGATGTGCTGCATAAAACGAAGGTTTATCTTTACATGGTAAGTTATAAACATACAATAGTCGATATTGAAGCTAACAAGGAAATTAATTTAAATAATGCAGTTGCAATCGACGCCATTCTTGCATAACAATTACTTAAATTGTAATGCACAAGACAACTTTATGATCCGGCAAAGTCATTTTTGTTTTTTCACTGTAATGTAGCAGATCCAAAATTAAATGTGTTATTGAATTAATTATTAATGCAAAAAGAGAATTCTACTAATTTATATTTTTTATATAAAACAAAATTATAATATTAAAATTACAATTATATAAAATAATATACAATAAATTTTTTTATAATAAATTTATGTGTACTCTATATATTTTGATTATTGAAGGATCTTCTAAAAAGTTAAAAAAATTGTTTTTTTGTATTTTTAAAAGTATGTAATATCTGAAAAAATTATTATTTTAAGATTAAAAATTTTGCAAAATAAACAGAATTACAAAATATAGGATATAACTACGAATAGATATAAAAATAAAGCTACCTGTAGTTGGATTAAATGTAGATAAATATTTCCATTATCTTTCTGATAGAAGAGGACAAAACAATAGAAAGATACAGATGCATTGTACAACCACACACAAACACATATTATTGTAAATACTTCTTTGTTTTATATAAAAATTTAAAAGTGAAATTTAATGATCACAAAGATTTGTGTGTGAATGGTTTTCTAGTCGTCAATTAAAATATGTGAAAATCGTAATACTGAATATAATTATAGAAGAAATAGTAAAGACATTTCTAACATTTCTTAACAATGCGAATAAATTGAGACAAAGAAAATTGTGAAGCATTTATTTAATTAATACATTAAAGAAGAGAATTTTTTATTAGTTAATGGAGAATCGAGATATATAGAGGAATTTGATGTTTTTTTTCTTAATGCCAGAATGCAGAAAGATTGCATATTAAATTGATTACATAATCATCATAACAATTGTATGAATTAATGTATAAAACAAAAAATAATATTTAAAATATATAAAAAATATCATCTAATTTAATTATAAAGATAAAAAATTAATAATTTGTTAAAAGAACAAGTGCCTATAATATTTATAATATTATAATATATTTAATATTATTTGTTATCTCTACAATAATGTTAAATAAATATTATTATAATAAACTATAATGCGCTTAGAGCATAATTATAAATTTACTACGAGCTTTATAAATGCATATCATGTATATTTATGCCAGACGCATACATATTTAATTACAAACGTGAATATATATACGTTCTATTCAATTACTCATCATTACTAATTATCAAAACAAACTTAAAGTATATTTTTAGCATTCAGAATTAGTGTGAATTTTTATAATTATAGTAAAATGTATAACAACTGTACTTTTTGCTATAGAATATCCTGTTCTTTTTGTAAAAATAACCGCTTTCTTCGTTACAAGATCCATCATTTTTCATTGTTATACTTCTGTAATGACGACTTTGGTCCTAGTAATGCTGACATTTGTTCCTTTAATAACTGTCTTTCTTGATATAAGATCTCTAATATTTCCTTAACTAATAATATCCTTGAATCATGTAATGCTTTGACCAAATTTTCTCGACATGATTTTGTTTGTATTTTTTCCAACCTTCACTAAATTCTTGATACTCTGTGGTTTATTTGACAATAGATTATCCTCCAAATGTACGATTGAACACTTGGAATTTAAAGAATTTTCAATCGAAGATTTCTCGTAATTATCATTTGACAACTCTCTTTTTTGTTGCAGAATCTCTATTTCCTTATCAAAATCTTGCACTGATGATTGTGACCCACGTAATGCTAATATTTGTTTAAGTTCTCTTCATCTGATTTCTTTTACATTCTTCCAACTTTCAGTGAATTCTCGATATTCTGTGATTTATTATAAAATACATCCAAATAGTCTAAATGTTCGATTGAACACTTGGAATTTGAAAAGCTTTTACTTGAAGAATTATCATTTTGTTTTCGGTAACGGCAAAAAATAACATTTGATAATGGACTTTTTTGCTGTGAGATCTTTCTTTTTAAACTCTTGTAATGATGCGTTTAGTCCATATGATGTTGGGAGAAGTTGTCCAAATTTTTCCGACTTGATTTTCTTTATATTTTCTCCAACTTTTGTGGAATTCTCGGTATACTGTAATTTATTTAATACTTAATTCTTTAAGTTTTTGTTTGAAGAGGTACCTTTGTAATTATTATTTGGTAACATCTGTTTAATAAAAAATAATTTTTTTCATAAAGTCAACTGTTTCCCGTAATTCATTAGGCGTTAAACATGATGTTGCTCATTAAATATTATAACTGCAACACGTCACGATTTGGAAAATACATATTTTTAGCACTAAGAAATTGATCAATTACAGTCGAAGGAAAATAATTGACTACGGTTTATCCATTTCTTATGGCTTAAGGCTTAGAAATCTATTGTAGATTCGGGCGAAAAGTCATAGAAAAAACTTAAGACGTAAGACTTAAGCAGTAAGCAAATCGACCAATCACAGTAAAGATTATAAGATCGTGAGCAGTAACGAATCCGTGTTGATATCTTTACTGTTCAAGTGTTACGTTTTAAATTTTTTTATGTGCCAGGACCTTTTACATTTTACTTTAATTATAATGATACGAAATGTATAAAAAGATGCTCGATAAGTGTCAACAGAAATGCGAAAATTTAAATGCCTATTGTCTTTGCGGAAACTGATCCAATCGTGTGTACAAGTTGTTGTATATGTGCGTGTAAAGTATGTGTGAGAGTTCATGCGCATGTTTTCTGCGAAACTATCGCACCTTTCAATCTAAAATGTCGTGGTGCTGTAATTATCGTTACGACACTTTTAATTTAAAAGTGCGACAGTAAAACTCTTGTATAAGAATTGTACATACGCTTTTTCATTATATATAAAATATTTTTATTGCAACATAATATTTATAATGGAGAGCGATATTACTTGTATAGTGAGAATCATTAAAATAATTGAAATTTTAATTATACTATGATGCTCCATAAAATAGCAAAGCACAGTCGTTAAACCTTGACCCACTCTCGGCCTTTGCATGGTCAAGTGCATTATACGCTAGTAGCTTCTAGAAT